ATTATATATTGTACATATATTTATTAGTTTCAGATGTAGCCATTCTTGTATTTGCTGGTTTGTGTTGTTGTGTTTGCACATCTCTGTTGCTTGTGGGGCTCGCACACAAGAATTTCACTCGCATGTGCTGTGCCAGTGTGCCTGCACATGCGATGTGACAATAAAAGTGATTTGATTTTGATACTCATGGGGTCTCCTCCTCTCTAACTGAAAACAACCTCCAGAAGGCGTCCTAACCAGAGGCCCAGAGCGTTTGAATCGCTATACTCTATATATGACTCTTTCGATACGAAGGAGGAGCAGTTCTACTCTGAGATCCGTCTGGATGTCGAAGGCCCTCATCTCATGTTTAAGCTCAGCAACATTATGGTGAAATCTGGCCGGTTGCATTCACGACCTTCCTCTTTCAGTTATTACCCAGATCTCATGACTACAGGTGAGGGTTGGAAAGTAAATGGACCGGGAAAATGAAGGCATCATCTTTCAGTTCTGCTCTTTTCACCACAAGAATCCAATATAGCACCAGCATTATGACAGAACCATAATATTTGAAAAGAGGAGTTAAACTCCCACAATCCCTTCATGGTCAGGATGATTCTGCACTGCACACATCTAATCTAAGGTTTTGATGTGATGATATTTACACTCCCATCAAAGCCACTCGAATCACCAGAGTCCAAACATCAGAATACTATGATAAAAACCCAAATGAGGAAGGTCTCTACTTGAGCTGCAGCTGTGGAATATTTAAGTAATCTTGATTTCTATCAATTATTCTGTTGATTCATGGAGTGACTGGATAAGAAATACGTGTTTCTCATTAATGAGCAAACATTCAAAGGAGAAAAAAAAAAAACATGCCTTTCATGTTGATTTCCATTCTGCAAAGTTTTTCTGTTGCTGAAAACAGACGTTATGATGGCATAGATGTTAATTAACCTTAATAATAATTAGGTGTCCTACCTAACATCCCTCAGGTTAGTGAATCAGAGTCTTACTGGCCCATCTACATTTTTATTAGGTCCTGCAGTATCTTAGCTGTTCCTAGGACTGCGCTCTTCTGGACAGAGATCTCCG